ATAGTAGCCCAGCCATGTAAAGGTTGAAAATATTACAACTTCAATAATTTTTTTCTCGAAAACTATAAAGATTTTACGATTTGACTCCATTTTACAGGATACATCTACTCCCAAAATTTTTTGGATAATATGTGAATCAGCCTGTATATCCCCGAAGATTTTTGGTTCATTTTTGTTACACGCTATATGCTCTTTGAAGGGCATTTTTTATTGTATTATTTTTATGTGCTGGCTGTCCAAGAACAGAACCCTTAGGATCTCTTGAGATGTCCAGCAAGGAACAGGAAAATGTGTCTCAACATTTTAGCAGTTGATGTCACATCTCATAGGTAGGTTAACATAATACTACTAATATTTTCATATTATTTTCTTAATTTTTACGGTAAATTGAATAAATAATAATTACATTATGTTATTATTATGCAATAGAAACTACACAAATTTTCAAAAAAACTCTAGTCAACACAAGGTGTCAAAACAGAAAAACTATAGTTTCTTTAAAAACAGAGGACAGTTNTTAAATCGTCAGTTTTTAAGAAAAACTTTGACACCCCGTATCTCGGAAAACGAATCATTTGCGGACATACGTTTATAAGTAAACTGCCATTATTTTCTCATGTAGAATCACCCCCTGAAATTTGTCGCACTTATTTACTAACACCCTGTATAGGTATCACTGCATCAAATATAGTAAAGCTATTATTAGGTGTTTTTGGGATTTTTTTTTTTTTCAAAAAAATTTGCCTCTATTTTGGAAAGGTGCATTTTCGAATAAATGTTTGTATAAACTTTTTTGTTTATTTTACCTGAGTAATATTCTCTTAAAGTTATGCCTACCCAGGTATTGTTTTTGTATCATACGAGTATGCTTAAGAAAATTGATTAAATTTTTTGCTCTCTTAATCGTCCGTTAATTAAGGGATGATATATTTAAGTTTGATTTAAACCATTTCGGGACAATGTAATATCTAAATATTTGTAAAAATTGTAAAATAATTAAGAAACTAAATCGTAGCAGAGAAGTGTGTAGCTTCTGGATATCAACAAAAGAAAATAAAAGAGTGTAATTAAATAGTGTCTAAAATTTATTTAAAAATTATAACTGGGCAATTTTGACTTACATAGTCATCATTACAGTCGCTTTTATAAATCATGTACAGGGTTATTCAAAATTCAGTACAAAGAATTTAGGGGTATATTTTTGAGGTCAAAATAACACTTTTTTTTTCCTGTAAATGTGGGTCCACAAATGTTTAGTTTTCGATGTACAGAATGTTAAAGTTTTTTATTTTTTTCGATTTTTTTTTGGAATAATTTTCAAACAGATTAGTACGGGTTTTTTTAGGATGCTAAATTTAAATATGTAATTGCCTTTGACGCTGCTTGTAGAGGGTGACACCTATAATGGTACGCTTGAATTAAATTGGCCCTAACTTTTTTACATTTCGTATTAGTACGTTTATTCCCCTATCAATTTTAAGCAAAAGAGGTATACTTGGTCGAAATCACTCGCACCAACCGTTTCCGAGATATTCACTTATGAAGAGTAAAATGCACACCATATTTTCAAATTTTATTGACTATTTACGGTGAAAAATTATAAATTTATTTTCACCATCTAATCAATAATGCAATGATCTTGAATTTTAGCTCTTTACATTTTTTGATACAACTAACAGTTTTCGAGAAAATCACTGCTGACTAGCGGTAATACTACCGTTTAGTATACGGAAAGTATACCATTTTTTCTTAAAATTGATATGCATACTAATACGAAACGTCAATGTACAGGGTAGTAAAAAAGTTAGGACCAATCAAACGTCGCCTTATAGGTGGCGCTCTCTACAAGCAGAGGCAAAAGCAATTACATATTTAAATTTAACACTAAGCATTTGTGGACCCACGATTATAGGAAAAAAAAATCTTATTTTGCCCTCACAAATATGCCCCTAAATACTTTGTACTGAATTTTGAATCACCTTGTACAAAATTTTAAAAAAATAACATATAATCTTACGGCAATAATCAAATGTTATATTGACAAGAGACATTTTTAAATTAACACAAACAATACATTTAAAAAAGACAAAAGACTACTGCACCATAAGAATTTACATACAGTGTGGATCACTTGCTAAGTGCAAAAAATTAGGTTAGATATATTTTTCTTGAAATGTTCGATAAATGACAATTTTTAAGAGATGACAATTTTATACAAGAATGCCAAAATTGAAAATAAAGTAATGTTTTAATGAAAGTGAGATTAGTAAATTTAAATCTTTGAAATTTCAGACATCTTAATATTAATTTCTTAACTTTCTTAACTTATTTATCATGTTTTAAATTTTGGAATCATTGTATAAAATTTTCAACTCAAAAATTTTAAGAAAAATTCAATTAAACTCATTCTCAGCATCCAACGCGTGGTCGACACTGTTAGTTATTATTTAAAAACAAATTTTACAATTTACTATGTCAGCCGAACGCGCTTAGCTATAATTAGTCGAGGAAATAAAGCACTAAAAACGGCCTTATCTCTGAAATCTGTGCAGTAAGATGGATTGTGATGCGGTTTTTTGCATTCGATTCGTTAGAGCGTCCAGAAAGTTTGTGACCTTATGTGATCAATGAGAAATGAAAATTGCATCGGTGCATAAGAAAAATGCATTTTTAAAATTGCATCTTGAAGAGTTAAAATATGAAAAATTGACAACTCGGAAAATATTGACGGAAATGAGTTCAATTTTACTACTCGGGGGTTTTTGGGGTCGCTGAACACGAATATCATGATGCCAACGCTCTCCGAGGTACCTTGTGCACAGGGTGGCCGTTTTCCACGTCGTCTCCTGGAGTTTTGTGGAAATTCGTTATAAACTTAGCCGAAACTCGTTAGCTCGGGGTTTTTGGGGTCGCTCAACACGAATATCATGACGGCAACGGTCTCCGAGGTACCTAGTACGCTAGGGTGGCCGGTTTCAACATCATCTCCTGGAGTTTTGTGGAAATTCATTATAAACTTTGCCGAAACTCGTTACCTCGGGGTTTTTGGGGTCGCTCAACACGAATATCACGACAGCAACGGTCTCCGAGGTATCTAGTGTCCCAGGGTGGCCTGTTTCAACTTCGTCTCCTGGAGTTTTCTGGAAATTCGTTATAAACTTAGCCGAAACTCGTTACCTCGCGGTTTTTGTGGTCGATCAACACGAATATCACGACGGTAACGGTCCTCGAGGTACCTAGTACTCAGGATGGCTGGTTTCTGTGACAACTATTTCATTCTTAATTATTTTTTATTATAAAAATACATTTATTCATTACAAAAAATACGTTTTCTAAAAATAATTTTTTTTATTTAATTTTTTAATTTTTTTATTTAATTTTTTAATTTTCATTATTATCTTCTTCATCTTCTTCATCTAGTGTTTCCACTTCCGAAGAAAATATATCATTTGCAGAATATTTTTCATTATTCGTGCAATTAATGCCTGCACAATTTTTGCACGCTATGCTGCAGTTCAATCTGTGCTTCCTACATCCACACGAAGTTCCGCAATCGGTTTTGCACCCAAGAAAATCATATTCATGATTCTTGGTGGACCGTTGCTGTCGTGATATTCGTGTTGAGCGACCTCAAAAACCCCGAGGTAACGTATTTCGGCCAAGTTTATAACGAATTTCCACAAAACTCCAGGCGACGATGTGGAAACCGGCCACCCTGAGCACTAGGTACCTCCCGGACCGTTGCCGTCGTGATGTTCGTGTTGAGCGACCCCAAAAACCTCGAGGTGACGAGTTTCAGCTAAGTTTATAACGAATTTCCACAAAACTCCAAGAGACGACGTGGAAACCGGCCACCCTGGGGCACTAGGTACCTCGGAGACCGTTGCCGTCGTGATACTCGTGTTGAGCTACCCCAAAAACCCCGAGGTAACGAGTTTTGGTTAAGTTTATAACAAATTTCCACAAAACTCCAGGAGACGACGTTGAAATCGGCGACCCTGGGGCACTAGGTACCTCGGAGACCGTTGCCGTCGCGATATTCGTGTTGAGCGACCTCAAAAACCCCAAGGTAACGAGTTTCGGCTAAGTTTAAAACGAATTTCCACAAAACTCCAGGAGACCTCGTAGAAACCAGCCACTAGGTACTTCGGAGACCGTTGTCGTCATGATATTCGTATTCAGCGACCCCAAAAACCCCACTAGTAGTAAAATTGAACTTATTTCCGTCAATATTTTCCGAGTTATAAATTTTTCATATTTTAACTCTTCAAGATGCAATTTTAAGAATGCATTTTTCTTATGCACCGATGCAATTTTCATTTCCCATTGATCACATAGGGTCACAAACTTTCTGGACGCTCTAACGAATCGAATGCAAAAAACCGCATCACGATCCATCTTACTGTACAGATTTCAGAGGTTCAGTGCTTTATTTCCTCGACTAAATGTTTAAATAAGTTGTATACATTATTTAAACACATATTATTTTCTTTTGTTGAATTATGAAATATTTGAAGGTAAAACGTACAATGTCACAGTCACAAATGTATCGCGAAGCTAATATAGTGACGTTTAATAAGTGTTGACATTTCATTTAGTTGTTATCCTTCTCCTTCTCGAGGGCGTTTGTTAAACGATATCCTTATCGTGCAGTGATTCTGCGGGAAGAATAGATTTAGGATGTGCTTTGAACTTGCACAACCTTATGCAATTACCCACCCAGCCTTGCGCATCCGATACTCTATTTATTCTTCCAGATTAAATAAGGGAAAAGACGGAGCATATTCTTCCATATTTACCCTCAAATTGACATGTATATATAGACCCAGTAAACAAAAAGGAATCAGTGGATCGTAAACCGAGAAAGGTCCACGAACGTGCCGCTTCGCGCATGTCTTGCCACTTCGCCTCTTCCTATCGAACGAGGACCCGCAGTGTGTAGTCTGACGGCGTCGCGACGGTCTACGTCGGGACGCTTTTTGTTCGGTGGGCGTACCGAATGCAATGTTTTTGACAATACTGTTCTCCGTCTCATACGCACCCATTTGCCGCGGTACCGCTATCGCCCTCTAAGAGCTGCTTTGTGCCAAAATTAGATTTTGTTATAGTTCGAATTTTTGACTTTTTTATCGACTTTTTTGACGCGTTTCGTAGCTTATATTTTGAAGTTTAGCAGCTTCTGCGGCCAGAGGTGAGGTATTACATCATTATATACCACTTTATTGCATTGTGGTTAGGTTAAAGTAGATATTGTAGTAATACAGTAACGTATAAAGTAATTTCTAACATTTTTTAACAACACGTAGGTAATAAATAAGTCGATAAAATGAACTTTACTAAATTCGTCAGAAGAAGAAATTTCAATAGATCTATAAACTTGTGTCCATTCATCTTTTTTATTTTATGTAATCGTTGTTCAAATATTTATTATATTAAAAATTGTATGGTATGCAAATGTTGAAAATATCTGTTGAATTTTGGAAAACCAATTATTTATTGATTCTCTACTGACTTTGCCGATGATTAGGTTATTTTAAATGTAAACTTAATTTTAGATATCCAAACATTTACTGAGACTGACATTTCTCATAATTTTTGTTATCGAATACTTGTTATTTACCAATGTTTCGTATACTTTGAATGTGTATCGCATTTATACGGGGCCTACCTTTGACCTTTAGAAATACATATCATGAGTTTGTTTTCTCAAATTCCGTCGTGTGAACTGAATTTTGTTTAACCTTTCTATTTCATTTCTAAAACTTTCGCTGTGCAATAGCAAATAACCGCGGGTGCTATCGCGAGCTGCGACATGCATAGTTGTCAAATCTCATCTTTTTTTATTCGTATACATTTCTTTTAATACCTATCACAAAGAAATTTTACAACAATGAAGACAAAGAGACACCATACCGTCTCTAAATACAAATAAATAACATTGTAAGGTTATATACAGGGTGTCCTCAAATGAATGGGACACAATTACATAAAATAGTGCGATATAGCTAAACTTACCTTAGTCCATTTGTGGATACTGTTTTTCCATTGGATGCAATTGAATATTTTGTGGTTATTCTCCTGCAAGAAGTTTAAATATGTATGCTGGTTTTATTAGAATACACATAGGTACATACATATTTAAATTTTTTATCACAGTACTTAATAAATATGTATGTTTAAATTTACAATTTACAATAGACTTAATTTAATAAGAAATAAATTGTTATTGTCATGGAAACTATATCTAAAGATTATTATTAATAACATAAATTAATTACATTCAGCTGGTTAAACTAAATTCTCAACATGGCTCCCCGTTTAGATTACAGTTCCCTTTACAGAATCGTTGTATGTAATAGGACATGCCAGCTTAGGTTATGAGGTTATATGGGGTTATTGATAAAACCTGACGTAATGGGGTTAAATGGATCATGGATTCGAATTCAGCGACCCCGAAAACATGTGGTAGACTTAGTCTGACCTCCAGACTCGAAAAACATTTTTTGTGGCTGTGTCATCTCTTGGTATTTTTTTTTTGTATATATATTTTTAATCTTTTTGTTTCTTTTATTCATTTATTTATTTTTTATATTTTCATTCACCCCGTGCATTGGAATTTCATCAATATTAGTAATTTTCGAATTTTGACCATTTTGACCAAATTTTGTATAGTATTCGAGAGATGAAAGTAATAAAAGTATTCAGAACCGAAAGAAGGAATTTTGCCCCTTTTTATTTTGAAATTGGCCAAGTCGAATATTTGAAAATTGCCCCAAAAAATTCTGGAAGTATTAGAACTGTTCTTTGACAAATTCTAAGACATTTTTGTTTTCTGAGAAAACTCCCCTTTTTCGAGTAAAATTCTAGTAAAAATCTGATGCCATAATTTTCTGGTTCGACTGCCACTTTCGTTCAAGTGGCTAAATACGCACATTATGGATCTTTTAAGTTCAGAGATTTTATACACAGTTTTTATCGCTTTTATACACATAAGGATAAAATTATATTGAAAATAGGAAAAAATTGCGGTGTTTTTCAACTTGTAAGTCCGTTTTCGGGTCTGAATGACATTTTTTTTAATTATGTGGACACCATCTTAAAAAGCATCTCCAGAAGCTTAACGTCTAGTAGGATTTGTTTCCTCATCCGGATACATTGGTGCCCGTGGTTCAAAAATACTTCCTCGAAAATCCGATTTTGAGTGTTAATGAGTCGATTACAGCGGCGGAGATTCAGCGGAGGAATTATTAAGAGATTTTTTATTTAAAATGATACTTTTTCGAAAGAACATCTGAAAAAAGATGAAAAATGTATTTTTACAGAAATTTCTAATGATACAGATTTCAAAAGTAAAAAATGCCACGAGTTATTGCCTATCGAAACTAAACCGAAAAAAAGTATCTTCCCTTTATTTTAATTGGTATACACTAGGTACCAGTAATTTTTTAAATCAATCCTCAGGACTTTTGATTCGCAGTCCGTGTTATCAGTCATCACATGATTCTTTATTCTGGAAAAATTAACTATTGCAGGTACTAAAATACCACATTTTTTTGGATAAAATGTTTCCACATAAAATTATTGTAGTTGACAATCTAGAGGCCTTTGCATAGGTTTTATTTAATCAGAAATTTTTATTAATTATTTTGAAACACGTTTTCTTTCCAGTACAGTTTTATTGGTTTTTCAATAAGCTTTTCCAGATCGATTTTAAAAGGAAACTTTTTGCTTAATAAATTTTATATCTCATATAATGTTTGAATTTATCGCCATGTTTTAGAAACACTCTGTACATTTCGTTATTTGTTATCTGACAAACACAATAACGGTTAATAACTGTACTGTTTTTATTAATTTCTTACGCCAGTTTTTTTATTATACCCTTAATATGATAATATTGATTTAAAAATTAATGTGGATCTGTTAAAACCCGACCAAGATATAAATTTTAAATGTGTTCCGAATCTCATTTTTTTTCATTGGGGCAACAGTTGTGGAATCATTTCACCAATCCCATCAATCAATCATATGCTGCTACTCATATTTACTATTTAATTTCTGTCAGTATCAGTTATACCAGTTACACAGGAAAACGTACTTAATACTTATTAGTTAGTAGCAGTAGTAGTAGTATAAATCAAACACAAAATGTACACCGAAATTGATAAAAAAATAAGGAGGAGGAGTAACTTTTATAAACCTATAAATATACAGGGTGTTCAAATTAAAACTTTCCACCTGGAAAATATTGGAATTAAAAAAAAACTGAGACATCGATTTTCTTTTCAAGAGGGACACATGATGGCATAAGTTCTGGTTTTGGTTAAAGCTTTTTCAATTCTGCTCACAACGACAAAAAAAATAAATTTGGTTTGGATATGACAATAAAATCATCACTTAAAGAATAAGACAAAATATCAATGAATAAAATAATGTTATTTTATTAAGTGTTCAATTTTGTTTCCCTCCGCTTCCATACAATAATAAAATTTTTGCTCCACTTCCCAACGAACATTTAGAAGAATTTCGGGCGTTATCTGACGTATTATTCAACAATTTCTCGATAAAAAACTCATCACAATTGCTTAAAAAGTGGAAATAATTAGTTTGTTCTACAAGAATAATAACTGTGCACGGCAAGCAGCACATATTTTTAATGATCGTCATTCTGACAAAAACACTTTGCATGGGTACGTCCTGGATTTAGTGTATAAATGGATCGGTTGCAAACGGAAAGTATTAACGTGAACAGGTCGTACGTAATGAGAGTAATCAGCAGTCACATCGCAATGGAACCTAATTTGAGTCTCAGGAAACCTGTAAGTACTTCAGGAATTTCTGTACCTAGCTGCCGCCGAATCTTAAAAATTCATAAGTATCGCCTATACAAAATTAATTTGGTACAAGAAATTAATGAAGACGATCCTGATCGCCGCTTGCAGTTCTGTGAATAAATGAGTGATCCTGCTCGAAGGAGTCCAAATTTTTTTGTACTCAATCTGTTTTTCTGATGAATGTATGTTCCAACTGGATGGTCGAGTCAACCGCTATAATTGCCGTTACTGGAGTGATGAAAATCCACGCATTTTTCATGAATCTCATACGCAGCATCCGAGGAAATTGAATGTTTGGGCCGGCATACTGGGAGACCATCTCATAGGGTCTTTCTTTCTACTGGGAAATCTGGATGGAAACATGTATCTGAATCTACTGAAAACGAATATATACTCGATGTTTGTGGAAAACAACAACGCTTTATGAGAAGAGGATGTGTGGTTTCAGCAGGATGGTGCTCCACCACATTATGCCGTAGCTGTGCGTGATTTTCTTAATCAGAACTTTCCAAATCACTAGATAGGACGCAGAGATTCAATTGAGTGGCGTCCCAGATCGCCAGATCTACTGCCCTTAGGCTTTTTTCTATGGGGACACTTCAAGTCGAAAATTTATGCAAGACGAGCAAACTCACTTGAAGAGCTTCGTCGGCGAATAGTTGAAGAATGTCGTCAGATAACGCTCGAAATGTTTCGAAATGTTCGTTTTGAAAGATAATCAACGTATCTAAGTTTTTTTTTGTTTTTTTTAATTCCGATATTTTCCAGGTGGAAAGTATTAATTGGAACACCCTGTATAGGTACCTTATTTTCATGAAAAAAAATGCGTATCATGGAGTTTTTACAAATTATTAAGGAAAGGTGAACAATGTCTAATTGAAATTCAGAATATATTACCTGTGTTCATTGGAATTTATTCATAATGGTAGATGAGGAATATCCTACATGCTGTCAATGCACTACTGCCGCATGTGCCACGTTCGATTACATCGATTAAATTCCTTCCCAAATCGATGCTGCAGTATTTTAAAATTTAAATTTATTAAAGAGAAAGAGAGAGAAGGTGGAAGTACGAAAGAAGAGCTTAGAAGTAGAGTGATATAAAGAGTATTGTCAGGAATTATTTATTTGTGGTATAATGTTAGTTTTTTCTTTGGGTATTTTTTTGACAGATGGTAAATAGATAAAAATTTAGGTAGAGATCGGAGATATATCTGTCTTTACGATGAGTGTTTTTGAATTGGAAACTTTGCATACATGGATTTTTTTAATGTTCTTTTCGATGAATACGTACCTAATACTTTCGATTATACTGGAAGTTGACGCCAACTGATTTTAAATATAATACTATTATTGC